CGCTACTCGGTCAGAACTCGAGCAAGAAGCCAGGTCAGCAGCGTGTGGCAGCAGTCGCCTCCGTCTTCAAGGTCTATAATCACCCCAAAGAGGGAATCTTGAGCTTCGTGCGAGTCTACTTTGGCGAACTTCACAAGAACTCGTCCACCTGGAACACGCATAATCAGCAGGCAGAGCGTCCGTTCGGCTTGTTGCAGATATCCGCGGAGAAGACGGAAGATGTGCAACACCTCGCCACTGGCCAGATTGGCGCCATCAAGGGTCTAAAGAAGGCTCGTACGGGCGACACGCTGCTTGCTACTATCGCTCAGAAGCAGATCCCGGATGCCCTCAAGCATATCCAGATCAGGCCCCCAGAAATTCCTCCGCCAGTGGCTTTCCTCGCGATTGACCCCCACGGGCCCACAGCTTCCAAGGAGCTAGAGATCGCGCTCGAAAATGCGTCACGAGAAGATCCCAGCTTGAGATGGAGCCGTGACGAGAAGACAGAACAATTCATCCTGCAGGGTATGGGCAAACTCCACCTTGATATCGCCGTCTACAACCTCAAGCAGAACCCTAAGGTTCAGGCCGACTTCGGTCCTATCGAGGTCGATTACAAAGAGTGCATCACGTCCTCAATCGGACCGCATCATGTCACCTTTGACAGGGTCGTCGCGAGTAAGTCGGGCAAGGTATCATGTACAGCAACTCTGGAACCTCTGGAAGACCACCACCGCCAAGCCGCACTTGAGCCGACTGTCGAACGCGACGGAAACATGATTCACATCATCATCGATCTCCCCGAAGACGGCAACATAGCCTTTGATCCCGAGGAAGCCCGACAGCAACTCATCAATGGCGCCGTCGCAGCCGTGGCCCGCGGCCCGCGCCGCGGCTCCCCCGTCCAAGGTTGCCACATCACCATCACCGTTGACGCCGCAGCCGCCGAGAGCCCGTCCGGTGGACACTTCGCCGGCGCAGCATCTCGAGCCGTGCGCGAAGCACTCCGCGAGGCGCACATCACAAAGGGTGCCGTGGGCGTCCTCGAGCCCGTCATGCTTCTACACATCAGCTGTCCCGAGGCGGCCGCGGGCTTGGTGCAGCATGACATCAGCTCAGGAGCCGGTGGACACGTACTGGAGGTCAATGATAAGTCCGCCGAGTCGAGTTCGCACATCGACGTCAGCAGTATCTACGCGCCGCCAGATCCGTACGAGATCGTGGCTTCATTGAGGGGGAAAAAGTCGTTGGCCAGGACGGTGGAAATTGTAGCCAAGGTGCCGTTCAAGGAGGTCTTGAACTTTGACGAGCAGCTGAGAGGCAAGACTGGCGGAAGACACTCGATGACGATGGCGTTTGACAGTTTCGATCGTGTTGTTGGCCAACGAGAGAAGGCATTGTAAAGATAGAAAGTGTGTATGTACTTTGTAAAGTAGAAAGTTTAAGAGGTTACAGGAACTCAGATACCTTCCCCATTTTCCCGAACGTACTGCGCAAATCGTCAGGAATAGCATTCGCATGTACAATACTCATGAATAGCCGGTTAGTGAAATTGCAAGTATTGAATACACGTAGCTCTGATGTTGCTGAACAGGTGCGATAATATCATGACTAAGCAGCGCATAAGTCTTCAGCAGTAGGGGACGCAACCCGACGTTGTTTTTCGAGCCAAAACAAAAGGGAACAGAGAATCTCGCTCAAAAGAAACAAATTGCCATGAATTACAAAAGATTTGTTAGCACAACCTGGTTTCGATCCAGGGACCTCTGGGTTATGAGCCCAGCGCTCTACCCCTGAGCTATTGTGCTCAGGCTTGTTGATGAAAATTTTGGTGGTCTTGTAACCCATATCCCGCTCGGTTGTGGAGCTGTGACTCACACATCCTCAACCAATAGTTCAACACGTCTCTTCAACCACTCGTGTTCTTCATCTGCTCTATTTTATCTCTACTCATAAAAAGCGACTGGTCATTTGTCATGGACTAGCTAGTTCTACTCAACAATCCCTCAAATTCATACCTGGGATGGCTCGTTGACCTTGCTACTTGAATCAGGTCCAACTGTAGGGATATGGGGGTAGATATCCTCGAAAGACTGCACGTCATACGGCTCAGCACCCGCGATCCTCGTCGCATCAACCCAATTCCCATGTACAGCGGAACGAAAACCTTGAATCCACAGTCAGATCGTGGCTGAATAATACGACTAGGTTCTTAAGTAGCACTCACGGAAGGGCAGAATGACCTTGGCAGCAACCGTTTGGAAATCGCGCGTCTTGGATTATCTGCGTCAAGCATATGAGATCACCGTTGCTAGACAGTTTCTGGAACCTCCCTTGCGGCTTTTGAACTTACTAGGTCGTTTCTGCAAAGCTCCATGTTATCTACCATGGTGATAACCACAGACTGCTGTCTTCTGGAAGAAGTAGCTGCGAAGAACGGATTTGAAGCCGCAAATGCAATACCGATGCTTAGAATCTGTTCCCGGACCCGAGCAGCGAGGCGAGCCTGTCTTCACGCGGCACATACCTTTAGGGCCATATCTCAGTAACAAAACCGAGTCAGTGTATCATTCTCCGCTCCCAAGCATTTGTTCAGTGCTGCCCTCGTCCTGGCGTTGTATCTCCCTGCCTCCCCTCCTGACAAGAATGATAACAGCGGCTGCGCGAAGGGGAGTTGAGTTACTCGGCGACGTTTACTGGAAGTGCCTTAGCGCTGAGGACTTTATCCGGCTCGGTTGTCCTGTCTCCATGCGCAACGAAATGTGCTTGGGCGGGCTTCGTTCCGCGCAACGGGTTCTACTAGACTTTGTAAGTCTATTGGACAACATGAAGAATTAGCGGATAGCAGACTAGTCACGTCTGCTTCGTATGCTCTGCGAGAGCCCTGGAGACCACTGTTGGTTGATGAGTATCTTGTCAAAGGTGTAGGAGGGATAGTCCAATGACACAACAGAAGCCTTCTCTCAAACACATATCTCAGACATGACAATTCAGACTGAATTTACCCTATCGTCCCTAACTAGAGACACTGCGCCCAAGTCTGGTTTCTTTTGAGAAACGCAAGGCCTCGCTTACGGATACCTGATAGAGAGTGACACCGTCTCAGCACTGGGCTGTAAGTCTATATTTTTTCACTACAGTCTCCTCAATGATACTCAAGACATCATCCGTCGCGCGTCACCATAGTCACCATTGATTCAGGAGAGATCAGTTCAGACCTGCCACCGGGTAAGATCTCTGCCACGGATCTTCGCCGTCTTCGGGTGAGGGCTGCGGCAAAACTCCGAATCCGTCTCCAGGCCAGTCGAGCCATCTTATCATCACCGTACAATAGAGGTATAATAAATAATACGAAGCTTGTCGATTCTACAGTAAGTAAGTGCACTTTCAAGAGGTTTTTATCAAGATCCTTATTCCCAGTATTTACTAATGATTCGATGCCACTTCTTTGTCATTGAGCCAAGCAAGAGCCCATTCCCAATGGCTTCAGGAAACTACACGATGGACCTGGCGAGGTTCGCAGCTAGCCTCACTTCTAAAGCGCTGCCAAAGAGCCTATACGGCACTCCTCCTATTCTCGTGATCGACATCATCACAGCTATGCTGACCGACATGGTTAAACCTGTCTATAAGTCTTCGACGGAGGCACTAACAACCGTCCACGGCAACGGCGGACCTCAGTCAGTCGCAGCCATAGACGGCTCAGAGACCACAATCTTTGGCGCGATGTATCTCAACGGTATTGCAGCCGGTGCATTACAAATCGAGCACGTCGTGCTGAACGCGCATCCGTCCTCCTCTGTCCTCCCCGCTCTGCCAGTCTACGCCTCCACTCGAAACACAAACACCAGTGGCGAGGACCAACTCACTGCTCTCGCCGCGGGCTACGAAGTCTGCGCGCGAATTGGCCTCGCATCATGCTCCTCGGTAGAAGACGAGCGTGGTTTTCACAACCCGGCTATCAACGGACAGCTCGCCGTGGCGGCGGCGGTCGGTAACCTCCTCAGCTGGGACGCCGCGACCATCGCGTCCGCTATGAGGGTCGCGGCATCAAGTGCAGGCGGTCTCGTGGCTTTCCAGACGACGGACGCCAAGACGAAGCAGATTCACCCGGGCCACGGTGGGCCATTAGGCATCGAAGCTGCGCTCATGGCTCGCGCGGGTGTCACGGGCCCGCCTAATATCTTGGAGAACGAGATGGGGTTCCTGCATGCCTTTTCGCCGGAACCGACCTATACGCAAACTCTGCCTTCCTTGAGGCCCTGGTGGACAAGTACAACCGTACTACCAAAGCCCTAAGTATTGAGGACGATGTCCAGTCTCTACGTTCCTTAGTTGAGAATATGTGGATGGAAGCAAACATGTCCCACGTGTATGACGGAGTTGTAAAGGTCGGAAAAGAGGCCCGTTTGGAATAGGATAGATTAGTATTTGTAAAGCTCACTTGATATCATATGCCGGGACTTACACGCCCAAAGGTGTGGAGGCAAATCACTAATATCAACCTTGTGAGGTTGCAACTTGCAGGAGACTTGACGAGTTGAATGCACCCATCTTCAAGTTATATGCTCCGATAGTTTACACAGCCGAGATACAATATGACTTATACTGACTGCGACATGACAGCATACACAAATTGGGAATATCTCGACCACTCGGAGTAACAGTCAAAAAGAAGAGACGCAGGTGACATCAGGCTTTCATCAGGTGCCACCGATCTGATTATTACTCTAGCTATTCGAGGCAATCACTTCTCCTGCATTACTGAAAAATCGAGCCATTTCGCGAAATTGGAACTTCTGAAATAAGATAGGCTTTATCACTCAAAAGGAGCGTCTTTGGACATGAACGCATAATCCCAGCGCCATCGCTTTACTTTGTCTGCTTGGGCGCTTTGGCTATGTGCTAATCATATGATGATTGACAGTATGGACTCATCGCAGCGGTGTTTATCTTTGGGGTAAGCATAGCAAGTCCTTCCACCATTGTTCACATGCTGACCTTGTTTTCCACAGGCGATGGAACTCTTTTCCAGTCTCAGAGAAGACGCACAGGCTGCGAAACTCAAGGCAATCATTGACAAGACTTCGACTGCTCGGCTCTACGTCCAAGTCGAAGAAAAGACCGCAGTGGCGTATTCGTCTCTAAATGTACGGCTCGATAAAACGTTTTCCCCTGTGAGACAGGTGACTAGGACTGACACAAGGATAGGCTGAGATTGAGAACATTGCGGAAGCATACGTTGACAGGGAGGCCAAACCGCAAAAGTTCCAGAAAGCACTCGATCGATTCACGAAGTCGGCCGGCAATTTGCTACCGAACGTAGATGAGGTCTACGCCCAGCTTTTCGAGGGTGATGCGCAGGGAGGGTCGTGGGTTGGGGATGACCCATCTCTGGAGCAAATGAAGAGTATGCATGATGATGAGATCAGAGTCCGTAATAGCTAGTTTCGGATATCAAAGTGAGCATAAATGTATTCGATCACACATACCATTACAGTACTCGGTACGGATATGAAGCTTAGCATATATGTACGGAATAGCCGTGACAGGCTGCATGATTTGAAGAAGTCCCCTGCTCAACTTAGCTTTTCTCTTGTATACCAAAGAAAGGTTGTATTCGCTCAGTGATGCAGAAATCGCAACACGGAGAGATGCCTTTTCCCAGAGCACCCTACCTGAACTACATAACTGATCTTCACCAAAAACAAAATACATGCAACACCAGGCATTCGCCAGTCGTCACCGACCTGACTACTACTCTGGCCCTCACTGGCTTGTCTATGGGAGAGCGGACGGGATCCCGAATTCTCCAGTGGGTATGGTCGCATGTGGTGATCGTAGGGTTGGGGACGGGTCATGTCTGCATGAGCGACTTAGGCGTCCTCAGTTGGGGTCGAAGGTGAGTAGCACCTAGACCAATACAACTCTCTCTTCGGTGTAGGATTCCATGTCTCGGTCGTACCGGCAAGCTGGTGACCTTACCTTGCTGACCGACACAGTTATGGAAGTCGATATCCCGAAGGAATTGTGAACCCCTCCCGCTAGGCTCGGAAACCGCTGGCCCCGGACCCAGCCCAGAGGGGATTGGATAAGCTCCAGCTCTTCTCAAGCCAGAGGAGCCAATATGTACGTGGGTGTCTCTTTCCCAGATCACAATGGAGGCTCTGTGGGTAGGGCGTCAGATTCTTGTCGGTGAAGGACCGGTCCACCGGTCTAGCGTCGTCGTCATCTCGGTATCGACCGAGCCGACACCACAGGATTTTGCTGAGGGGGCACTGAAAAACATCCCTCCAATTCAACTCCTAAGTCTGACTGTATTCAGATTCCCGGCTGTTTTCCCTGGGTCCGATAAGCACTATGCTTATGAAGCTTGGCCATGGTAGTTTGTGTAATCTACTGGCTGGTGCCAATAACCCAAAGATCCGAACAAGGATCCAAATACTTAGCATTCACAGCAGGATCGAGTCCACATCTCGTAGACAGCTGCTATGGAGTCTTGACTCTGGGTGTTGGCCAAGGTGCCCATACCGCAGGTGAAAGCTGCCAACAATCAGAGCTCATGAAAATAACAATATCCGCCGGCGCCGTGCGAAAGGAGACAACAACGTATGAACAGCAATCCTGTCCAACATCACAGGCGCCTGTCCAAGCCCACGTGGTCGCATCCCACCTGACCCGGAGCGACACTGATCCGCGAGGCGTAGATCAGGGAAACAAGACCGACCGGCCGGGTTACGACCCTGCTGGACATTCCTTCGATGCAAGGGTATGTGAGGAAACGAAATGGCATTCGTTTCGTGTCAAGCAAATTTTCTTGGGATGAATAAACAGAACAACATGTGCATCCTGTTTGTCTTCTTCCCCCGTTATTTTTAGGTTGGGACGACACAACAAGCGCCGGAGGGAGAGGGAGGTCGGTTTGGCGGGTGCACGTCGCACAGCCGACATGTGGGGCCCGGGTAGCGGTCTCCGAGAAGCGCAGCAGCGAATGAAAAGGCATCTTCAGTGGCGCTACTCAGGGCTGAGCCTATGCGTGATTGGATCAGAGACCCGCGGCCGCAGGAAACATTTCTCCCGACGCCCCCAAAAACAAACGCCGACCAGGATTACCAATTCGACATTCCCCATCCTCCATCCTGCTTCTCCAACCTCGTGGCCGATGAACATACCTAGTGCAACGACCCAACCCCGCGCTAGTGCTGACAAGTTGACAACGAAAGGAAAAGAATTCCAAGCCCTGTCAATTCTTACCGGACTACACTGCTCCCGAGGAGGAACTTTGTGAGCCATGGCACGTGGGAGCCGTGTCTGTCCGTTTTGGTCTGGGTCTTGTCATCTTGAAAGGCTACCTTAGCTGGGCTAGCGAGTGAGTTGGTTTTTTTTTTTTTTGCTGCGGACAGGATGTGAGTTGAGCCGAACGTTGGTCGAGTGCTAAGCCTAGCCATCTTCCAAGACCATGCGGGATGGCTTTTGGTCCACGATGGATGAGACCTGGAGGTTGGATGCCATCCCAAATTAGACTATGCACACCAAACTTGAATTGTTCACGTTCATCCCATCCAATAGATGGGATGCCAGTATATAACTAGACATCAAACCCCGCTATGATGATGGCTTCTTCTCTTGCATCTCATCACACAGTGAACGCATAATAACATCATCTCATCTTTCCTTGAGTCTCCTCTACTTTGTCTCCTTTCCCACTTTGACCAGCATTCTTCCGGCATCGTCATCTCTAGCAAGCGTCCAAAGCAACAAGAACACATTCAAAATGTACTTCACAACCAGCTCCGTCGCCCTCACCCTGGCCCTCGCCTCCTCGGCCCTCGCAGCCCCCTACAGCAGCCAGACAACCTCCGCTCCCGCTCCCACTTCCACTCTATCCCTCACCCAGCAGCTCTTCCTCGCCGACACGTAAGTCCCTTACCCTCATTCTCAACCTCCCCCCCTCTCCCCAACATACTAACAACTTGAAACAGCGCCGCAGACCGCTTCAAGCTCCTCCCCGACGACAAGCAATTCATCTTCGACTTCAACCAGCCCCAACAAAACCCCGGCAAAGGAGGCGAACTCGTCGCCGCCAACCGCAAGACCTTCCCCGCCCTAGTCGGCACCGGCGCGGGCATGGCCGTAGGCCGCGTCGGCCCCTGCGGCATGAACACCCTGCACGTCCACCCCCGCTCCTCCGAGCTCCAGATCGTCGTCAAAGGCCGCCTCATCACCGAGATGACGCCCGAGAACGGCGTCGTTCTCGCCGCCGACGGAAAGACCCGCCGCGCCATCCGCACCGAGCTGGGCCCCTTCCAGATGACCCCCTTTTACCAGGGCTCTCTGCACACGCAGTTCAACCCGGACTGCGGCGACGCCGTGTTTGTGGCGAGCTTCGCTTCTGAGGATTTCGGCACCGGACAGGTTGCGGATAGCACCTTTGCCTTGACGGACGATGTTATCGCTGCTACGTTTGGGCAGAGCATCGCTGGTGCGGATATCGATCGCGTGCGCAAGGCTATTCCTGCTAGCATTGCGCTTGGGGTTGACGAGTGCTTGAAGAAGTGCAACATCCAGAAGCGTGCTTTGTAAGCTGGTAGGAGAAGCACTTGGGGGATAGTAATGGTGTTGGCGAGTGAGCGTTGTTGATTGCTGTAGAGAGCGTGGCATCTTGCGTCTGGCAAGCGAGCATTTGGTTTGGTATTCGGATTATTGCATGGACCCTGGGCGTTTTGCTTTGGAATTCTTTCTCATTCTGTTTGCCCCCCCTTCATCCCCTTAGCTAGCATTTGCGGTTTTGTTTTCGTTCGTTGTATCTAGATTTGGTGAGCAACTCATAAGAAATACGTAGCATCGAGGAAAAAATGAAATACCCTGTATATACGCGGTTGACTAGTTGCAACTCTTCTCAAGACAATGCCTTAAGATAGCCAACTAACATCGATTTATGCATATACTGAGATATTATCATCCACGTCGTACCTCATGACACCGTGCAAGCTCGCTGCCGTCATGCTCTAGCAAGCATTGTAGTCAGGGCGGCTTGCTGCGCCTGCGTCGCCTCGAGAGGGTACTCTGTTACCGGCAACTGTAGGATGGCGAATGCTAGGGCGGACACATAGAAACGACGACGCGAAAATCGGATCGAGGCATTAACACATCATTGAGCATGAACGTTCGTTGATTGGTTGGACCGGACCGTATAGCAAGTGACAGGCCCAATAACCCCTGATCAAGGTCTGAACTACCCTAGAACAAACATCAACGGACGCTTGAAAAGCCATCATGTCTTGTCCACATACCACTCTACATCACCTCCCGTTGCTCTCGGGCAATGCTCATACACGCGTTCTCCAAGCACGTTCTCACATAATATAGTTCCCCTCATGGAATAAGATTTTCCGGTCCTAGATACCCCGCTTCCTCTCCATGTCATGACCGATATTCCATTTCATATAAAAGCTTCCTCCACATGTTCCTCGAATAATATAATATAAGATCAAAATAATACGTGCGTAAATGGGTATAGATGAGAAGCAAGCCGATCCGAAAATATGTAAATGCTCCTCGTCAGAGGAGCCGAGTAGAAGATACCCGAAAGAAAGCTTTGCCTGCTCGTGTGGTCAACACGAGGATGCTAAGATAATAAACACTAGACTGTCGCGATAGTATCGCAGGGATTCGATGTATACGTCCAGATAAGTTATTATGGATGAAAGTGCCATGTGTTACCGGCGTGTATGCAAAATTTGCCGCATGATCGTAAGCGGCGGGTCGAAACGAAGAAGTGCCAGCAGCGCAAAAGGTACATGGCAAGCGAGCTTGCCCAAGGGGTGTGAAGGGTACATCCGATCGAGTGGGCTGGTTCCGAGACAATCGAGGTCGGCTGGTGGCAGCAAAAGGACGGCGCTGCGTCGTGTTGACAAGCATGGACGTGGAAGCGAAGAACGGGCTGCTGCTGCTGGCTATAGCGAAAGAAAGAATACGACTATCAACTGAGCACACTCAGTAGAGGAATGTGGCTGCGACGAAGGCGATGACGAGGCCCGCAATGGCACCACCGCCTTGCCTAACACCTTCGTTCTCCTTGGAGGTCGTGGCGGGTGCTGATTCTTCCGTTTCTGTGGCGGTGGCGGGCTTGGAAGTCGTGCCATCAGAGTCGGAGGACGTGGTTGTCGAATTATCGTTCTCGTGGAACATGCCGGCCATGACAGTGGGGGCACTTGACGTCGTCGAGGAGGCAGAGGTAGCTGCGCTGGAAGCCTTGGAGCTGGAACTCTTGACAGCCTTGGAGGAAGGCGCAGCAGAAGAGGACGAGGGGGGCGTCGGGGTCGGTGTAGGCGTAGGAGTAGGAGTGGGCGTGGGAGTCGGGGTGGGAGTGGGCGATGGAGCAGCGGAAGACTTGGCGACCTTGATTTCAACCTTGGTATCCTTCTCGTTAGAGTCGTCAGAGTCGCTTCCTCCAGAACCGTCAAGAGGGAAGACGATGATGCGACCCTTTTTCCCCTTGGGAACAGTGACAACGCAGTACTTGGCATTGCCAGCGCCGGTGCCGGCTTGGTTGCTGGTCACCTCCCCAACAGCATTGGCAGAGGGGTCAATAGAGCAAGGAGTGCCATTGCAGCCTCCATCAGGGCACTCGATCCTGACTCCGTAGGTAGGCTTCGTGTTCTTGAGCGCGGAACCCTCCCAGATGGGGTTGTAACCGAGAGTGACGAAAGTTCGGCCCTGACCGTCTTGGTTGGCTCCCGCGACATAGGCAGCCCAGTTACCAACTGCTTTGGAGGAGTCGCCCCAGATACAACCCTCATCCGTAACTCCGGGCGGGTTGATGTAGTAGCTAGGCCTCATTAGTCTCTTCGTTTTGACCCATGTTTGAGACAGTGAACTCACTGAGCACTGGTGCTGCACCAGTAACTAGGGTCAGGAACAGCAAGGGTGATTGACTTGTCAATGACGCTGGGAATGAGCATAGCCTCGTTGCCCGGCAGAACAGTTTGGCAGAAGGACAAAGTCTTGCCACACTTGTTGTAAACCTCAACGGTACCTGCTCCATCGACGCAGTAGGGAGAGCCCTTAATGGGCTTTGAGGCCTTGCCATCAGAACCACAGTACAAGCCACCGTTCTGAGCTGGTTAGCCTGCGAGCTGCCGTGCGAGGAGTCGGGGGGATTCTTACCATGGACGAGGGATACGTGTAGGTCGAATCGGGCTCCCATTGCGCCATGACTTTGCCGGCTTTGCAGGCAATAGGGCAGTAGCTTCCTTCAACACAGGCTTGATCGGGGCTCATAGCAAAGCCATTGTTCATGGCACCGGGGACCTTGACCAGATCGCCATCGCTGGGCAAACTGCAGATGGCCTTGCCATCAGAAGTTCTCTTGATGACATCTCTCTCAGCAAGCGTCTCGATCTCCTCGTTGGGGCCCAGACCGGACTTCAACTTGTGAAGGTGTCGGTGAGTTCCATCATGAGCCTCGGCGGGTTGGGCAGAGAGCAGGACCAAAGCCGAGCCCAGGGCAGCCTTAATGGTAGAGAGCTTCATCTCGGAAGCGGGGTTTCGACAAGAGTCGACGTGGTTTCCTCCAAAGACAATTCAAAAAAGAACAGGATCTGATTCCTGGTGGTCGGCGCGTCGCGCAATGTGGTAACAACGGCGGTCGGATTTTGGCGTTCGGATTCAATGCTACAACATGGAAATGGCGAATTGGAATGGCAACAGCGCGTGAGCGTGTTGGATTCGTAAAGAACGTGATGTCTTCGAAAGCGAATGACTAGACAGCGAATGTCGGTGTAAAGAGCGGAACGTCTCAAAGCAGAGACTGGGCAAGGCGTAAGGATGCGGTGCAAGGACAAGAGAAAGAAAGAGGAGAACGAGCGAGGGTGGAGGTGGCAGGATGGGTCGACGATAAAATGAGAGAGAGCAGCAAGGTATCCGGGGTGGGAATCGTTCAGCCTACTGGGCAAGCCGCAAAAGGCAGAGGTGCGTTGACAGCAACCTTGCGCGCGATCCTCACGCTGTTGGCCATAACGGGGGGAAACTCGAGGGGGACCTGGGTGGACCAGGGCCCTTTGAGGGGCAGGCGCAAGGATTCTGGCTGGTCATGGCGACATTAGGCAATGGGTAAGCGGTGATGCTTGGCTAAGCCGGGGGGCGGTTGAGGCGGACAAGCGTCGATGCGACGAGCTTGATGAGAATCGCGCAGTTGGAACTCGGAAGAGTCGAAGACTGGCCGGGGGTTAAGGAGACGCAAGGATTCGAGGCCCGGGGGGAAATGAAAATGACATGGCCCCTCGACCTTGGATGAACTCGCCAATCAGACAGGGCCATCATCTCGGCAAAGCTTGACTTGTTCTTGGAAGGAGCCAATGAGAGATGTTGC